AAGAGCTGTCCCTCTACTTTGTTTACTTCTGAAGACCCAAGTGGCTCTCTTGGGCATTGATCATCAGTCTTCCTGAATAAAAAAGCATTTATAACGGTTCTCTTTCAATAAAAGAAGAAATGTTCTCTAGCCTTAAAAAGAAACACATCTAGAGTATCCATTGCTACTGACTGCTGACTGGTGTCATCTGCTTTAACATTGACAAGTATAGCTCGATTTCCTGTTTCGTCTTATTTACTATAGAGCAGCTATGATTTTATATTACGCCAGTTCAAGTATACGTTGTATGCGTTGTTTGCAAGCTAGTGCAGAAGAAACCAGTTTTCCATCGGATCCGATTACGTTGTTAAACTATTTAAAGTGTAAGCGCACAGAATACTCCAAAATAAATTTCCTCTTAGGTTCTGAAAGTGAACGCATTCGACAGATAACGTTAACTTACTTTATTCGTCATGGAATACTGAACGTATACTTCTGCCATGCTAGTCGTGCAAGCCATATCTATACAAAGCTTGCAGCCCTATTGGCAAGAAATCTGTTAAGGTTTTAATAGTTCTTACTTAAGTAGGACTTACCATGACAGACAGTCAAGGTCACACAACAATCTGGCACTAATTAAAAAAGCATAGCATTAGTGAATGACGTACCATCCTCCTGCAGCTTCCGGATGACAAACGGACAGGTACAGCCGCCCATTACTGGGCATAAGAACTTACAAATAAGGAGATCCAAACTAGTCAACAACACTTATTCCAGATAAAATATTCCTTACATCATCCCCGCAAGAGGAAGAAGATGAAGAAGCGATTTCTGGGACCAATGTGTATTCTGGCTGACGTTTAAACAGCTCGCTCGCTTCCAACGTCAGAGCGTAGTGTCTGTCTTCCCGTTCGCGTCAGACGGATGTGTCCTTGACTTAGGGTAACGAAGCTGGAAGACGGGAAGATAAGGACAACGGTCTACCGCAAGGCAACTAATACCATGCGCATTCTCCACTTCAGAAGCAACCAACCCGTTGGTCCCAAATGTTGTTGTGTTAGAACCCTTTTCAAACGCTTTCAGACATACTGCAGTGACGAAAGTGGGAAAAAAGAGGAGATTAAGTACTTGCATGCCGTATTTTATGCCAACGGTTATCGTAATTTCTTTGTTCGCAAGTGTCTTAAGAAGCCCCTCAATGTGCGGTCGGAAGGGGAGGACCCCAACTTCTGGCTCGCAATCCCTTATGTGAAAAATGTATCAGAATCGGCTGCAGGAATCTTTAAACTATTCTGGATCGGTGTGGCTCATAGGCCGGAGTCAACCATCAGACAGCAGATCATGAAGCCCAAAGACCCC